AACCATAAGAAGAATGATATTTTTGGAGGAATATGCAATTTCTAAATCCAGCTAAAGCTATATATCAGATTAGTTGTTGTAGGATCTATGTTATTTATGATAGAAGTGTACATTAATTTCACAGAAAATTTGCCATTTTGTGTGAGAGCCCAATCTATTTGATCATATGTAGAGGGTGCGATAGGCATATAAATATCTTTGATTGCAGATTGTAAGTGATTTGGTAGAGTGAAGGGTAATATATTTAAATGCCATTTATGATTGTAATAGTAGTTTGAAACTGTTTTATCTTCCTCATATTTCGGAAGGGGTCCGTATATGCAGTTACTAAATAAGTAGTTCTGACTAATCCAAGGGTCATTCCAGAATTTTACATGATTTCCCGCTGTTATATTTCATTTATACCTTAAACAACAATAGGACCATCCTTTCATAATATTACGCCAAGTTATTGAGATTTGTTTTTTGATCAATTGTGGTGATCGTAGGTAATTATGTAATAACACTTGTGCCCATAGTTGATTAGGGTTCTGAAATAACCTCCATGCAAGACTTGCATGCAAAGCTTGATTTTTTATTGTGAGATTCTGTATTCCTAACCCTCCTTGATCGAGAGGTTGTGTAATGGTAGACCACTTGATTAAGTGTAATTTTTTCTTCTGTTGAGTTGTTCCCCATAGGAAATTACGTTGATAACGATTGAGGTAGGAAAGTATATAAGCAGGTATTTTAATGTATTGCATAAGGTGGTTAGGAAGATGGTTTAAAGTTGAACAAATTAAAGTAGTCCTTCCTGCTTTTGATAGGAAATTTGTTTTCCACCCTGTCAATTTATTTTTTAAATTTTCGATTAAGAATTGGTAATCTCTTTTAGTAGGCTTCTTAATAAATATAGGAAATCCTAAGTATTTTCCAAAGCTTTTTCCTTCATTCATGTGGAAGATTTGTAGTATAGTAGATCTTATATTAGGTGAGACATTTTTGGAGAAAAAGATTTTTGATTTGTCAAAATTGATAGTTTGTCCAGAGTGATATGTAAAATGAGTAATAGTATTAACAAGTGATTGACATAATTTATCTGTAATTTTTGATGTGAGGATAATATCATCAGCAAAAAATAAGTGGTATAACTGAGATCCTTTGTTCCCCGTTGAGAGTGGTATCCAAGCATGATAATCGACTGATGTATCTATTTTTCGCGAAAGCATTTCCAAGCATAGAATAAATAAGTATGGTAATAATGGATCTCCCTGTCTAATACCTCTTGTGGGTGTGAAGTTATCTGAGGGGTTACCATTAATCAAAATTGCAGTAGTAGTAGTTGTTATACAGGACATTATTAGTTTAATTAAAGAAGGCGGAAAATTAAGGGTGATTAATGTATTATGTATAAACGACCACTCTAATTTGTCAAAAGCTTTTTCAAGATCCAGCTTTAAAAGCATGCTTAAATTATTACCTTTCATTTTTTGAAATTTTGTGATGATTTCTTGTATAATAATAGCATTGTGAGCTGCCCTTTTATTTTTCTGGAAGCTAGATTGAGTTGGATGAATAATATGTTCCAAAATAGGTTTTAGTCTGTTTACAATTATTTTTGTAATGATCTTATAGATTGTATTACAAAGACTAATAGGTCTGAATTGTGATATTGTGGATGCGTTATTAGTTTTGGGAATTAGGCAAATGAAAGTTTTATTAGTAGAATGATCAATATGGTGTTCGTAGAAGACTTTATGACAATAAAATTTCACTGAGTTACCAATTATGTCCCAATATTTTTGGTAAATAAGGGATGAAGCCTATCAAGTCCAGGTGCTTTCAGAGCTTTAAATGATTAAATAGCATTTATAATTTCGCAGTCTTGCAATGGTTTTTGTTAAACTAGATTGATCATGTGTTGTTAAAACATTGAAAGGCTGTAAACTATTCTTTATTGTAGATGTTATTTTTTGAGTTGTAAATAGATGTTGATAGTACTGTGTAATATCATCCTTAATATGGTAAGGGCCAGTTATCCAATTACCCCCTTGATCTTGAATCGCAGTTATATGATTATGTCTCCTACGATTTGGAGTATTAAGGTGAAAAAATTTTGTATTTGCATCACCATCATTTAACCAATCAATACGTGACTTTAATTTCCAAAAATCCTCCTCAAGCCTAAGTATTTTATTAAATTCCAGTGTTAACGTGTATTCCGGGTTATGTAAAAAAATACTAGTGGGATAATTGATAGAGGATTGAATACCACTTAAACGAGCCAGTATTTTCTTTTTACGTTTAAATATATTACCAAAAGTCGATTTATTCCATTCTTGTACTATAATAGTGAATTGAGTAATATCAGGTATTAATTATAAATTATCTAGCATATATTTTCTTAATACACAAACATTTGACCAGGCAAAGTTATTTTTCGAAGGAAATGCAAATGGTAATTAATCGAAATTCTAAGCTACCATCGCACCATAAACTTTAATATACTAGTAATACTTTTTCCTAATTTTTTTTTTCCGATGCTAATACTTTATCTTGTTCAGGGGCGGATCCAGCCTATTGAATGTGGGTTCCCGTGAACCCAGTAGCTTTTGCATATACTATGTATATGAATTAAAAAATCCATTAAATATCCATAAATATTTGATTGTGAACCCAGTTATTTATTGTATATTTACTTAAGATCATTATAGGAACCCATAAACTTTAAATTCTGAATCCGTCTCTGATCTTGTAATGTATATCTTACTAGTAATTGCAGCGCTAAGTGACTGTTTCAACGAAAGTGAGAACGAGGCATCATTTTAGGGATGCTAGCAATTTTGCTTCTACCGTTATTGGTTATTTCTAGTTTATCCTTGTGATATTTGACTAAACATATACGTATATATTTAACATTCAATTAATTAAAATGTGTATTTGTCATTTCTATATATGGAAATTATGTTTTTGGACTAGTTTTAGGACTATATTACCATCCACATGTAGAGTAATAATACAAACTTAAATATGACATAAGGGTAATTAACATAACGATAAATAGTTGATTAATTTTGTGAAGATTCAAGCAGATAGATCAATAGTGTACCTTTTAATGAATCAAAGATTAAATGTATCAAAAGTGCACATTAATAAATCGATGATTAAATATGTTTGACCAGATATCACAAGGATTATAATTAGAATTTGTCAATATTTGAGTGACTAATAACTTGTTTCGCCAGAATGGTTTTTTGTTGTTGTTGAAAGTCTTTTTTCCTAAAGTTAAGATGTTTAGAGCCTGTTTGGCCAAGTACTTTCTTTTTTGTTAAGAAAAAGTACTTTTGAAAAATTTGAGTTGTTTGGACAAAATAAAAAAATATTTTGAGCCGCGCTTTTGAAGTCAAGCTACAAATTCTAGATTTTTCAAAAAATAGAAGCATAAAATTAATTTATTCAAGACAAAAATAACCTTATAATAAATTCATAAATTTCCAAATTATCCATCATTAATTTAATCCTTTTCTTTCCCATTTCCTTTTTATTTCTACCATATCTTTCTTCTTTTTTATTTAATCATACTTCTATTGTTTTTAATTTATATCGAATGATGTATTTTGATATATTTAAATTTATCATGTAAACAATAAGTAATACTAGATACTTAATGTTTCTATGTAATAACTCTATTTTATATTTTACTTTGGAATAACTATATTGATTAGAATTTTTAATTTATATTCTTACTTTATGTTTTCTATTTTAATTGAATTCCTTTGTAACAAATGATAAAATTTATTTCTCTTTTTTGAATAATACTAATTGCAAATTTAACTTTTACGGTCCTTTTTTCGTAATTTGATACTTGAAAGTATTTTTTTGGAAAGATGGGTCATTACTCAATTGAATTGGTCAAACACATACAACAAATTTGCAAAAGTATTTTTTCAAAAAGCACTTTTCAAAATTCCCATCTAATATTTACAATGGTTACGGGTATTTTAATCTATCAATCATATACGCCATTTCAACGAATTCATTAAAAAGTAATTTAAAGTATCTTAATACGTAGGTTTCCCTTATTTTTTCTAATAGAAAGGTCTCAAAAACTAATAAATCTCCCAAAGTTCATCTTTCATTTTAGACTTTGACAAAAATCAAAACATTCAATCCTAAACCCAGCACTTATATACAGGTCCCCTTCCCTAAAACAAAAATATATAGTGTAGTAGTAATTAAGAAATGGATAGAAAAACAAATTCTACAACATAACTAATTAAACAAAGATGATATGAAAGTAGTGTAATCATAACGAATAAAACAAGAGAGAGAAGAAGCTTAAGTACTAGTCCAATAAAAAGCAGTACAATTGAATTTAATTTGTGGAGTTGTAGTTGTTATGGAAGAAGCGAATAATATGCAAGACGCATCAAGTGAAGAAGCATAAAAAGCAAAGAAATAATGGCTAAAGCGAGATCGATTGATCTATTTACAAGTTTTTCTTCATGAGACATTACAAGCCAATAAGCAATGACTGCACCAAGATGAAATGAGCTTAGTGTAAGTAGAACATTTTCTGCCTGCTTGAACTCCATCTTCATACCTATGATGGCTACACATGTTGAAAAAATAGTTATGATTACCAGACATATAAACTGGAACCGGTTATAGTAGCCTGCCTCATCTTCCTTTGCCAAGTTGTTGCTATTTTTCTCAATTGACATTTTAATCTCTTTCTTGCTAAGAATGAGTACAATTTTTCATGTGCAGTATAAATATAACAAAAAGATAACTAATGGTAACGTCCTTAGCTAACTTTTACTACTAAAAATTAGATCAGATCAGATCGGGAACTAGTATAGTAACTACCCTCCTATGAATTTGGAAAATACTGACAGGGCCGATCGATTTAAAAGGAGTTAGGACTTTTTCAATATATAGTTACCTTTTTATACTCATTACATTAGTATTAGTATATATATATATACACACAGAGGGAATTCTCCTCGTATATACTACTTGCTCCTTTAGTCCTTTTTTAGCAAAGAAAAGAAGAATATGATGATGTGGTCCAAGATGAGGACAACCGATATGATGTGGGCCGGAACCGATGAGTTTTGACTGTGTATCTCACATTCGGTGAGAATCAGACCCACCTAGTTCGCTTAATTATGACATAATTGGAAAAAATATGATATTGATTCAATTTCATTTTTTTTTGAAATATATTTTCTTTTCCAAATTGTTGCTTGACAATTGTAGCCTGTTTTTGTCTGAATTCAGTAGCGATGGCTATGAAAAAGCTGTCAACAACAGAATATTCCCTAATTTCCAGCCAAAAACATATATATAGCTTAGAGCAAGCATCTTCCTCTTAGATGCAGCCATTTCAAGTTTTCTTCTTATCATCAACTTTTACCCTCCAGACAAATCAATTTTATTTAGAGCAACCTTACTCGTTGTAGCCTTTGTGCCTTTCTGTCTTCTGCTTTACTCTGTCATTCATGCTGCATTCTCTATCTTCTCTTAGTACGTTCTTACCAGCTTCACATTGCTAGCCAGAAACGGATCCGGAATTTAATTACACGTGATAGGTGTTAATCATTATTATTACACCTTTGAAAGTATGGATTGGTATTTGTTGAAATATCAGCGACTTTTCATGTATATACCTATAATTAGTACCGAAAAAATTAGAATCAGTTGAATTAACCCATATATACTACAAAAACAACTTTTGCTGAAGACACTCAACCTCTTGGATGAGCACATAGTAATTAGTAGTAACTATTTTTGTTCTTTTGACAAAAATCTAGCTATATTGAATTGAATTGGTACCACAAAAGGATGTGGTGCAATGGATGGAACTGCTCTTCCTTCTACTAGAGGTTTCGGGTTCGAGTCATGGGTATGGAAAAATCGTTGGTAGGGAGCGCTTCCCCCAGAATGGAGCCCTATGCGGCGCGAATCTGGATATAATCGGGCTCAAATGCGGGTACTGAACACCGGGTGGGAAACCAAAAGGAAAAAATTTGAATTGGTCAATTTAGCATTGTCTAAGTATTTACGATCAAGGCATGATGACATTTTCTAAAATTATGAATAGCAGTACACATTCTTAGCTTGTCTAAATTAATAACCCCATATACAGTATTATAGATATTAATTAATGGTAGTATGTGAAATTGTGAAAGAGGGAACAATCATTTCCAGATAACGTTATTAGCAGGTAGATATTATTTTTACTGAAAAGTTTTCCTATACTATAAGTGAGGATAAGCAGCGAGGTCATGGTCAACATGTCTGCCTGTCCATCCAAGGATAAAAAAAACCGAAATTTTAGCCCAACACGTGAAGTCACCGTCTGATTTCTCTTGCCAAACCCAGCGCTCCTGCAAACACCTCCTCCTCATACCTCTGCTCTCTCACTCCTCCGCTCTGACCATTGTTATTTTCTGCTGGGTATTCTTCTAACTCCTCTTCTTTGTCTATTGTTATTTTTGCTGTGTATTCTTTTTCTCATCTTACGCTTCTTGTATTGATATAATTTGTTTCAGTCGTTGAGAATATATTAGATATTTCTTAATTTTTTTCTCTAGCTGTTTGACAAAATTATTCACTGAATCAGGTTGTATTAGATTTCTTATGCACACTCCTGCCTTTTTCTCTGATTTCATTCTTTGGTTGCATTTTGAGTAAATGCTTTCGTGTAAGAAAGGGATAAATCAGTATATGACTAATTCAAACACTTCAAAATTGATTTAAACATGAAACTGAAAGGTCCATAAACTACGAAAAGAGAATTCTCTTTCATTCTGGAATTTTCAGGGAAACTTTGTTGAAATCTACAAGTTATGTCCATAGAATAGGAGGAAGAATATAATATTTTGGATATTAGGGAATAGAGCCAGTTTTAGTAAACTTTATTGCATTAAGTGGTTTACTTAGTTTTATAAAGTTTTCTTTCATGTTTTGGACATTGAACATGGTGATCGTTTTGCAGCTGATAGATTTTAATTCTTGCTTCTGTCTACTCAGAGTTGATTTTGTCATGAACTAATGTTGTGCTTTATAGAGCTGCTGCAGTTTCAAGAGTGAAGGGAGGGGCATGTCTTCAACTGAAACTGCCGTACAATGGATTAGTTCTTGTGCTGCTGCTTTTACTCCGTTGGATAGAAACTTCTTGCACATAATTGCTCCCTGGTTATCTAAATCTCTTTCATGTCCTCATTTACAACGTTTGGCCCCTATTTCTCTTGTTCATTTTGAATTCTATTTCTTTACCCTTGCTCTTTCCTTCTTTTTGCAACTAATCGTAATTCCATTCCATTTATATGTGAATTATATATTAGATGAGTCAATATGTGTGTACCCTATGTGTAAGTCAAATGGAACATGTCAAAAAAGAATCAAACTCCAATTTGCTTCTGGATTTGAAGAGTATTCAATATTTTTCTTTTCCACACTTTAGTGACAATAAAAATAGTAGCACATAGTCATAAAGGAGAAAGATAGGAATTGACTGTGATGAAGAGATTAAAGTATTGTGCTAATAGCTCGAATCATGAATCATATTTGCACAGATGTTACATCAACTACTTGGTAGTTTCATGATACTTTGCTGAAAGAGGTCTCAAAATTTTGAATGACTTTCATGAAAGCTACCTTTTTATATTTCTGTTTTTGCTGTTTGCTATTTTAAATCTGGTTATTTTGTAGGAATATATTTTCAAATGAATAGGATGTTTACAGTCTGATAAGTTAACCAAATTTTTCTACAATTATATATACCAAAAATACAAGTAGTTGATCATTTTAAGTCCTTTCTAGCAATTAACAAACTATGTAATCGTGCCATATATTCTAAAAAATGCAGAACAACCAATATAGATATAGAAGGCAGTGAATAAAATATTGAAAGGAGTATAACTTGGATATGAGAATGGACGTTGTGCGCATAACTATTTGAGTACAATAATGTATATTTGTAAATTTTACGTGTTACATAAAAATATTACACAAGTGTAGGAAACTGAACACTTTGAATGTGTATTTAGTTGCGCGTAGCTTTTCGTCTCTCATTCCGAAGGCAACAGTGAATATTTGCAACAATATTTAACACTTATTAGCTAACTGACTAATTTAATTTAATTTATGGTGCGTTGTTAATTTGGAGTGCATAGATGGTGTGCGTTGGTTAGAGCGACTGAATTAACTTTTATTTTTCCCCTCTTTGATTTTTTAAGTCGTGAAATATGAAAGAAAACACAGGAGATTCATGTGCAGCCAGTAAAGTTCTTCAAGCACTGTGAAGTAGAGATTATTAACTCTCCCTTAATAGCGTCAATAGGACTTTTATTAGGACACGACGCATCTGTCCAACGATAAGTATGAGTTTTCAGTGTACAACTTTCATTTTACTGTTTCTTTACAAGTCATTTTGAGCTCTTATCTGTTCAAATTCATATCTATATGACCAATTTCATCTTAACATTACTAAAAATATCTTTTTACTTCTCTCTGAAGTCTTTCTCCTAACTATTAGGTTTACCCTCACCTTCTATGAATGTTTAGTGCATAACCTTTACCTCTGATTGATGGCAAATTATTCATTCTTTTATATACACCTCATGTTAAATTTAAGGAAGGATCTGCTATGTAAAATTTACATGCTTCCTATAATTTTATGTTTTAGCAGCGCAACTAAACAACGTGATACAGCAGTATCATGTTGAAGATGGGGATTAAAAGGAAGATAAATTTTGCACACATAGTTGGATTGAAACAAGGAGATTGGGGATTAATTCCCTACTCTCTGTAGTTCAACCCTGAACAAAAATACTTGTATTTGGTGACTATTTTGTCAATCATGAATGACATCTATAGTTTAAGAAAAACTTTAATGACAGAGAACATGCACCTTTCATACTTTTGCAGCCACTTTGAACTTAGTTCATCATCTTTATTACCATTGTCTTTTTTTTTTTTTGTTTAACATTTTCTCTTCTCCATTCATATGTGCAGATGGTAAATTCAACCCATGCATTATGGTCTTGTCACCTTAATTTGGACATTTATTATGAAAACAGTCATGGTGATCAAATATACATTGTAGGACAACCTGAACCTTCCTCTGTACAACAACCTCAAAGGTGATTGCCGAAAAATAAATTGATAGAATTATTTAACAAAGTAAAAAAGTAATGGAGTTTATAGACTAGTAACTCTGATTATGATATATTTACTGTATAGGGCGTCCAAAGTTGCTACAATCTTCTCCAAAAGCTAGATAGTAACTGGGACAACAAGTGGTCTTAGAAGATAACACGGAGGACAAAAATAACACACCAAAATGCCCTGCTTTGTGTGAAATGCTGTCGAGGCAGCATGTCTTAGCAGAGAAGAGGACTTTCTATTTGCAGAGAAGAGGACTTTCTATTTGCAGCAGATGCTACCTGTGTGAAAAATGACAAAGGAATCTATCAGCCATTTAAATTTTTTTGGTGTTGACTTCATGATGCCACAGTATATGAAATGATTACTTTCAGATTGGCAAGCACAAAGAATTGATAAAGCATTCTTCTATTGTAAAATAAAAATGTATATTTCCAATCCTTCATTAAATTACCACATGTATCAACTGGTACATGACATTACATGTGCATTTACAATGTCAGCTTGGTTGAAAGCATTTATTGTAGTCCGCAAATGTTGTCTATCTACTATAATAAAAGAGGTGATCTGCCTATTGTAAGGTTTCTCGGAGGTGGCCCAAACCCAGGCTGTGACGCTTCCTGCTAAATATATAATGTTGACTTGAAGTTCATATACACAGTACGAAAAAAATATTATCTCACTCTCGAGATTGGTATAATGTGCCAAACCACACGAAGGACATGGCATTTTTCTTAGACAATTTAGGCTCCTAGAGAATTAATGAAATAGGAGAACATTTACTGAATGTTATTAGAAACAATTGCGCTATTGGGCCCGTGCTTAGCACGGGCAATTCCCACTAATATTTACATAGCAAGCTAATTCACGTGAATGGTCCTCCCCCCCCCCCCCGTTTCGATTTATACCCTACCAGCAAGTTAAGATTGAGTTTACCTCCAAGTAAACTTTTTTGAGCCATCACACTTATCTCTGTTTTTCTGTATCAGTATTTGCTACGGTTGATTAATAATTTTGGAACAGTTTTACTTACGATTTATACCCTACCAGCAAGTTAAGATTGAGTTTACCTCCAAGTAAACTTTTTTGAGCCATCACACTTATCTCTGTTTTTCTGTATCAGTATTTGTTACGGTTGATTAATAATTTTGGAACAGTTTTACTTAATGTAAAAAATACAAGAGAATCTCAATAACAAGAGTTATTAAATTAAGGTATCTCACTAGTAGCATAGAAAAAAATAATGTAATTAGCATTGTCTAAGGATTTACAATCAAGCATGATGGCAGTTTCTAAAATTTATGAATAACAGTACACATTCTTAGCATGTCTAAATTGATGACCCCATATACAGTATTATAGATATTAATAAAGGTAGTGTGATGATCCAAAATGTCATCTCGTATTTTAGAACCCAATTCGGGGTTCCGAGGCCTTCAAAATCTCATTTTCTTCCTCCTCGATTTGCGTGCTCAATCCGGATACGTTTCCGGAAAGCCTTATGTGAAATTTGAGAAAAATATTGAATTTTTTGCGTTTAAAAAAATTAATTTAAGTTGACTTCGGTCAACATTTTGAGTAAACGGATCCTGAACCATGTTTTGACGGTCCCTGAGGGTCCGTAGTAAAATATGGGACTTGGCGTATGCCCAGAATTAAATTCCGAGGTCCCTAACTCGAGAAATGAATTTTTGAAGAAAATTGTTAAACTGAAAATATAATGATTTTTTAGAAATTGAATAATGGTTGATCTTATTGGTATCGGGTCCATATTTTGGTTTCAGAGCCCGGTACATGTTTTATATGGTATTTAAGTCATGTCTGTGAAATTTGGTGAGAAACGGGATCGATTTTACGTGATTCGGACGTCCGGCTGTAAAAATAGATATTTCAAGTGTTCTTAAGGATTTCATGTGTTTTGGTATTAAATCCGTAGTTTTAGATGTTATTTTGGAGATTTGATCGCACGAGCAAGTCCGTTGATGCTTTTAGACTTGTGTGCATGTTTGGTTTGGAGTCCCGAGGGTTCGGGTGAGTTTCGGATAGGCTTCGGGTTGTTTTGAACTTAGAAAAATCTGTTGTGTTGCTGCTTCTGGTATGCTGATACCTTGTGCTTCGCGTCCGCGAAGTAACTCTCACGAACGCAAAGTGCAACCTGGGCTGGGGAGGGGATTGTTCATCGCTAACGCGAAGCCATGGTCGCGAACGCGGAGCACTGGGGGGAAAGGGGGGTTTGCTCTTCGCGAACGCGACCGGCATCTCGCGAACGCGTAGAGTAAAAAGGAGGTGGGCTAGGGATCTCTAAGTTGTTCTTCGCGAACGCGGTCCAAGGCCCGCGAACGCGATGGTCAGGGGGGAAAGACCATCGCGAACGCGAGCAATTCTTCGCGAACGCGAAGGACCTTCTGGACGCAATGCTTCGCGAACGCGAAGAAGGCCTGTCCAGTGTTTTTAAAACCGAACTCAAAACGGGAATTGACCATTCTTTCATATTTTCAAAACAAGGAAGCTTAGAGACGATTTTCAAGAGACAAGTTGTTCCCCAAAGTGTTGGTATATGATTTTAAACCACTTTCTTTCAATTACCCACTGCATTTCATCAATTTTCATCCAAAAATCTAGGATTTTCATAGTAGAAATTGGGGGTTTGGGTAGAATTAGGGATTTTTGTGTAATTGGGATTTAAGACCTCGATTTAGGGTCGGATTCTGAAGCTAATTAGATATTTGGGTCGTGGGTGAGTAGGTTTTGGTCTGAACCTCGAGTTTTGACCAAGCGGGCCCGGGGTCGGTTTTTGACTTTTTGGGGAAAAGTTTGGGAAAACCAAATTTATGCATTGTCATTAATTCCTTTAGCAATAATTGATGATATTGAGTTAATTGTGGCTAGATAGGAGTAGATTGGAGGTGGAATCTAGAGAAAAAGTGGTATTTGAGGCTTGAGTTTGGCCGTGGAATCGAGGTAAGTGTTGTGGCTAACCTTAGCTTGAGGGATTAGGTGTTGTTGCCTTATTTGCTACGTGTTTAGATGTTGAGTACGACGTATAGGTGAGGTGATGGGCATCTATAAGTTGTTGTCGGGTCATAGCTGTTGATACCCAATTTTTCCCTCATATATTTTAAAATGTGCGTACACACTTTCAAAATATTGTACATGCATTTACAAACATGGACAAGTGCTTTACAATTTTTTCTATAATTTTTAAAAGCCCTAAATCAATTTATTTTTGCATTTTTAATTATACAAATATTCAATAGTTATCCCTCATATTACTTTACAATGATTTAGTCATCTAAATTTATCATTTATGCTCATATGAGTGTTCAAATATCTTAATTGCATTTTTTACAATTACATTTGTATTTTTAAGATTATGATTGCATATTTTACAATAATAGCCCATACATATGCATAACTACATTAACTATATAGAAAATAACTTTTTATATTTTTATAATGTTAAGTAATTATTTTAAATCACCTTCATGCATAAAATTATTTTTATCATTTAATTAGCTATTTTTTACAAATTGTTTTATTAACAAATTGGGTATTTAACAAATAGCTCTTTAATTATGCCTAAATTCGGACCCCCCCAAGCCCAACTCCAATTCAAACCCCAGCCCACTTAAACCTAACCCAAACCTTAGCCCAATTAAATCCAACCCGCCCCAACCTGGAACCAATCGTGGCCGTTGATCTCTGACATCAATGTCCCACATTACCCCTTTCCTTTTTTAATCCGAATGACCCCCAAACCTTATTCCTTCTTCAGAGACCTCCGCCCTTGAATCCCTCTTCTTCTCCGTTCTCTCTGAAACCACCCAAGCCCTAGATGCGCCGTCACCCCTAAACCTCCCAAACCCCTTCGATCCCTGACCAAATATGAGGTCATTTGGTGTTTTGCTACCCTATCTGACCTATTACTTCTGCTGGTTGTTCGATTCTCGTTGTTTTCTAAGGGAACTTCGAAGAGGTTCGACTCAGAGTCGACCTAGGCTTTCGTTTCCTTATGAACACCGCCTTGTATTCATCAACATTTGTGAGTATCGTTGGTTTTGTGGCTGTGGTTAGATTTTTCCTTTACCCCGCTCCTTTTCTCAAAACCCTCATCTTTTTAGATCTTTGTAGATCTTGAGTGATTTTGAGTTTATCCAGTAGTTTTCTTTTAAAATCTCTTGTTCTCTTTATTGTTAATCGATTTTAGTATCCCTCTAGATTAGGGTTTTGCTTCCTTGTTATTTGCTGTTCAAATCTCTTTGAATCAGAAAAGATTTCAAGTTCCTATAGCATTTTTCTTTAAAGATCTTCTGTTTTCCTTGCTGTTAATCAATCCTAATATTCTCTAAGAACTAGGGTTTCACTTCGTCAGTTTCTACGAAACTTTTCCAAAATTCCTATGTGTTTGATTAGCTTTTTCCACTGGTTCTTTCATGACGATGTTCCAGTTTTAGTTTGTTTGGTTATTTCATTGCTCGCTTCAATATTCGCCCGTTATTCGTGAGTAATTGATTGATTACCTTGTCTAGGGTTTGAAATTTGCTTTGTTTACTGAGGTGATTACTTCCTGTAATTTTGTCTATTTTCCTTATTTTGGGACTCCTAATTAGTACTACTTGCCTTAATTGTTCCTATACGCTCAATTTATGGGCTGACTGCCTTACCAACCCCAAACTGGTCTCTATTTACTTGTGTTACCTTATTTATGTGATTAATTGCCCTGCTACTTGCCGGATTTTCAGTGTTCTGACTCTAATTGGCTATCAGACTTACCACTTACCTTATTTAGACCTCAATTCCGAGTTATTTTTGAATACAATCCCATGATCTTTGCCTATTGATTGGCCATGGCATGCCTAATTGATTGACTGATTGTTTTCTTTGCCTTATTTGCAAACCTTTAAATTGTTTTACCTTATTTACTTTACTCTACTCAATGCTATATAAGCTTCACTCTTTTACTTTTAACACACACGCACACAAACATAGAAAGACACACAAAGTTCTTGCTCTCATCTCCATCACAATCTTTTACTCTTTGTTTGTTGCACTGTCTAGCCGGCTGGAAGCCAAGGCTAGACCTTTGGACCCTGTTTGCTTCACTCTTCTATTGCTATCTCTTAACTGGTATGCCTCCACTCCTGCTATCAATTCAAACTTCTATGTGATCAAGTCTGTGTGCTCCTTATAATTAGCATGTCTTTTCTTATGTTTAACTAAACCTATGTGTTTCCCTATAATCAACATTAAAACTATGTGTTTCATGTAATCAGCATGTCTACTTCTGTTTTATCAAACCTATGTGTTTCCTGCTTTCAGCATGTTTACTTCTATTTTAACTAGACCTATGTGTTTCTGCTTTCAGCATGTCTACATGTTTTCTTATATGTGAACTAGACCTATGTCTACTTATTTCTCAATTAACATGTTCTTTCTATCCTGTTTTAAATGTTCACCCCTAACAGACTTCTGATTGATGATGCTCCCC